GTCTTAACTTAAATCTTAACTTAAATAGGTAAAGTATGGTATGGTATGTAATTAGAGTGAGAAGACACAACATCGAATAGACATTGCTCCTATGAGATGGCCAGATATCATTTTCAAATGATGGCTAAATAAAATAATAATAATTATTATTCGGGAAATTAATCTCAAAATCGAGTTGCCGTCCCCGGAGTTGTCAATGACGTCCCCGGGTGACGTCGTATGATTTGTATGCGATTTTTACAAATTAACCCCAAAGTAAAAAATAGTTGAGCCATGTAGTACCTTGCAAATAAACCCAGAAACCCAGTAGTTTGTTGATTGTTTATTGGTAGCGTCCCTTCGCTGTCAAAAATAGTTTTTTGGCAGTTGCGTCCCCGGGTGACATCGTGAAGGCATGGTAATGCTGGTTACGATTTGGTGGCACATCGATTTAATATTCTCATTCATCTGGCATGTAAGTACAAATTCATGCTTATATTTTACACATTTTTATAGCTTATGGTGATATAAATTTAATAAATAGACAAAGAACCTGCAATTCTACCCATACACTTAAATTAGTGTAGGAAACTAGATCGTGATTATTCACCGGACGTGCCGTCTTGATCCAAAATAAGGACGTCGGTACGATGTTTCTTTTAAAAAAATAAAAAATTACGATGAATATTCTCAAAATTCTACAATGCACGGAACTATAATTAGTATTTCATTCATATACAAATAGTAAATAGGAAGAAAGTATTATCGTGCATGATAGGAAGGTAAAACGTTCCCAACGTTTTTTAACAATATTGCGCGGGCCGGATTAACGTCTTTGGCGGGCCGGAGTTGGCCTGCGGGTCGGGGTACCGGCGGTATTGAGTCTCAATAAGAAATATATTTTACAGCGCCCTCTATAGCATGGATAAGTTATTTCTGACTGTTGTTCCAGTCCCTTTCGACTGACATAAGTAGTATCGCAGGCGATGAATCCTACACACAATAAAGTAAACACACTTGGTTGGCGGAACTAGGCCTACTAATTTATACGATGAAATGGAACACGAATACAAAAATACGACCGATAACATATCTGATATAATTGGCGGCTCCGATTCTGGATTTCGTTTCGAAGTGCCTTTTTTTTTAGTGATTTTTGTTGTTGGACTCGTTGGGAATTTTATCGTTTTTCTTGTCTATTCAAAAAAAAAATATCGGAAGAGCAATGCTTCTCTATACATTCTCAATCTAGCAATTGGTAAGTTCAGCGTCTCATAATTTCAGTTAATTTCGGAGGTCTCCAAAAGACAATTTTCTAGTGGTAGGCCTACATATATTTCGTAATTTCAGTTAATTGCGGGGTCTCCAAAATTTGTTAGTGGTAGACATTCCGTTTTTAAGTTCAAGGTCAATAATAAAGCAGTCTTCTACGCTACTAATATTATCAAATTGAAATATAGATTTTATCTGCGATCCAGTACATCCTATTCGTATTCGCGCTATAATTGATCTAGCCATATTAAAGTATGAATCCCTCACTTGGGAAAACCGACAATTCATACTTAATTGATCATTCGTATTTAACTGACTATTCGTACCTAACTGATCATTCGTACTTAATTGATCATTATTACTTAACTGATCATTCGTACTTAACTGATCATTATTATTTAACTGATCATTCGTACTATTGGTTCTAAGCATTGATATTTTTTTGTTAAGTTTATTATATATTTGTTCTTATTTTTATCACCATCATCATCATCATCATCATCATCATCAACACCACCACCAATACTACCGTCCTCGTCACTGTCTTTACCATTATCATGATGACCATGATAATGATGACCTATCATCATTATCATCATCATCGTCAACATTATTGTTAATAATTGTAATATTTAACAGACTAACAATTTTATGACGTGGATCATTCTCGTATACAGATCCCTTTAATTTATTAATAGACTCGATATCGATTGCGAACGATTTTATGACGTCCCATGCTCTAATTAATAAATTAATAAAGCTATGAAAAACCCTGAGAATATTAATTATCATTAGCTACCACACATCGCATAATGAGCAAAAATTACCCTTGGCCTCAATCCCATGGGCCCTCAAGGCAGGAGTTAACATACAAAATAGACATCGTAATTATTTATTGTTTAAGGAAGTATCGTTTCATAAGCCACTGGTACAATGACTAAATTAATAAACGCATCCTATCATTCGTAGTTGTAACAGTTATTAATATTAAATTGAAAGTTAGAATGAGAAAAATAAAATTATTCTTACCAATTATCCTTTAAATTGATTGGTAATCAATTCAATGATTAGGTCTATAGTAAGTGGACACAAAGGCAAACTGACTAGTTTTTATCTGCCTCATTGGAGGTTGCTAAGATACGGTATTCAATGTTAATTGTTATAATCTTTTATGGCACGCATAAGCTTTTCCATAAAGGATATTCCCCATTCAAAACTCAAATCCGTGACATCCTTTGAGATATTTTGTTACTGGTTCAACCTCATCGTTACTCAATTTACATTTCATCTGTCATCTGAATAACCGAAGAGACACAAGCAGTTGTCTCGTGCATTATGTATGGCCACACAGGACCACTAAAAATAAGGTCTTTGTACTTTTGTGTGTTATCCTTAGTGTTTTACAACAAAATCCAATTCAATACAACCACCCTCAACACCATATCACTACTAAGTACATAAAGTCATTAATGTTTAAACAAAAAATTATTGTGATTAATATTTCGTACCATTCTCTAAAATCCGGGTTCAATCATTCAGAAGAAGTGCAAGTAATCATTTTGATAAATGGATCTTCAAAATACCAGGGTAAATTTAGTTACTATTTTATTCTGAGATCAGATTCAGATATTTATTACGTCAAAATGTCAGTGCATCATGATAATTGGTTTCCAAACTGTATTAGACAAAATAACATCAGATGACGCATTGATTATAAATATATATAATATATATATATATATATATATATATATATATATTATATATACGGTATATATTGATATATAACACTTTGCGTTATATTTTATAGGTGATATCTTCACCATGATTGTGGTAGCCTTCCACATAACTGAGTTCTACTCGTTCACGTGGCCGTTTCTATGGCGACACGATGTTCAATGCATTATCCATCGTTACTGTCGCTACCTCTGCTTCCACGGAACGGTTTTCACGTTGACGGCGATTGCTGTTGACCGTTACGTCGCCGTCTGTGACGTCATGCGATACAAATTAAAATTCACGCAAAGGAGAACAAACAGAATCATTGTTTTGGTGTGGATCCTGGCGATATTTGCTTCAGCACCTGCCGTACTCATGTTTCAGGTTAGTATTTGTAACAATTGTGATTCATATTAAGTTTGTATGCAATGAACGCGTAATTAGGCCTAATCTCATCAATCATATTATTTATGCACTGTGTTCTTGGATAAAATATATCCATTTTGGTATGATGGTACAGTAACACTAACAAAGGTTGAAGATACGCAATTACCATTGCTATTATATACATATTATTTTTAATCTGGCGTTGTGGGGTATAGGTCAATACAATAATTAAATGTTGATTCGTAGGTATCTAAAAGGAAATTTTTCTGAGAATCATTATACATTAATGGGCACAATTTAGACTCAAAGTAGAGCAACCGTCGAAAGTATATCATATGTTATTATTAATTTTTATTTTCCACATCATTGGTTCAGAATACGTAACAATTATGACAATAAGGTTCGCTATGATGCTCCTTTATTCAGGGGCGGGTGGGTACACAACATATTCAGAATAGATAAGTGAGAGCGCTAATTTCAATATATGCCTTGAAATTCAAAATTTAGTGGCAAAACAGGGGGGCGTGCCCCTACCTGGATCCGCGCCTGTTATTTCATTAGAGATCCAAATCTTTCAAATAGTATTTTTAATAACACTTTTCAAAATTTTATCCTGAACTTAAAATTTTAAAGGAAAATTATTTCTTAATTACTTCTTGTATATTTTATTACTTTTTGTACGTTGTATATTGCCTTCGGTATTTTTAGATTGTTTTATTCATTATTGTAGGAATTGCTTTTATCATTTTGGTCATACCTTTTTTTTTCCACTCTTAATAACAATGTAGTTTATGATCTCTTTGTAGTTGTAAGCTTTCTTCATTGAATGTGATTTTATCCTGGTTAAATAAATTACACTAAAAAAAAATAGTAATTATATAGGCCATTACGCTGATTGATGTCTTCATCCAAAGTATTTTGTAGATTATACAATACACAGAGCTCAGTTTTATTAAATTTTTGAGATTTGTGCTTCTTATTCCTATGAGTTTTAAAGGAATAAGAAGCATAAAATAATTCTGAAATGCCTGGCATAACAACAATTAATAACATTACAGTTTGATGTTCAAAATTTTAGAACCAATCAATAACGTAATCTCGAATACAACTATCAACGTTGTGGCGACGTTTTTTCATGGAGTTATTCTCACTAATAATTAAATTTGCTTATACGTCATTTTCTGAGTGGCGTAACCTAACCAAAAAAAGTTTTGTGTTTATTGTTGTAGACGTATAATACAAACGATTTTAAATAACAGGTGCCTACAACAAATAGTACTCCCGAAAGCCCTTCGTTGTTTAAAGTTGTCACAAAGTATATTTTTGTGATTTTACTTATTATTTTCTTTTTATATATTAGAGCAAATACGAAGCCGGGAAAGACGAATACGCTGATGTCAAATATGCTGGACAGATACCATTTGCTTGCAAAGTAGTTTATCCATCAAACTTACCTTGGTTCAGCACCTTCAAAGCATTTTACTTCAACATATTTTTATTCTTTGTGCCTGTGATCATCATAGCAATTCTGAATATAAAAATCGTGCTTTTTATGCGTAGGTACGTACGCGAATCAATCATAGACTCGCGCAGCACAAATAATCTGTACCGATCGCACACCTCAGTGAAGCTACATTGGAAAATGGCGAAACTTCTCGTGTTTGTTTCTATCGTGTATTTACTCTGCTACCTTTTGTTTGTGTTGTATCAAATACTGTCCAAATATGCGGAGATGCCTACCAACCTAAAGAATCTCGCAATTGTTTTACCGTATGCAAATAGCTGCGCTAATCCTGTTATTTATTCACTCTTCAATGCAAATTTCCGCAGAAAATTTTTCACAATAATTGGGAAAAAATTTATGTGGAAAAGAGCAACTAAAAAGTCCAGACAAAATACACTTTATATTCTAAACTTAAATTAAAAAACAAATGCAACGTTTTATTGTATTATTTATAACTTATTTTATCAGGATAATAATTCAATAATAATTACACAGTATAAATATAGTATTAAACATTGTTTTTTCCCCTAAAATTCACAAGAAACAAAATGAATGAGCTTTAAAATCATGTTATCATAAATATAGTTTTATATAAAGGTTTATCTTTCTAATCGAATAGGTAGTAATTCACATGAGACGGAATGTATGCTCAATGGGCCACTAAGCGTAAATCATTCTGATCTGATCTCAGCAATCAGAACAGGGAAGTGAACACGCGTACGTCCAATAAACACGCATATTTACGTACATTTGCGATGTCACTTTGTTGGACCTTAGCAACATTATCAAGTCCGGGGGTGGGGGTAGTCGAAAAGTCCATTGGATATTATTCTGTAGCGATGTCATTTTGTGGGACCTTAGCAACAAGGCAGTTTCCGCCGCACCACGTTAACCTTAACGCTAACGGATGACGTCATAATGTATTCATCTTACGTTGCGGAGTACGTTAATTTCAGGATTTTACGTGATCGACGTACGTTAGTCACGGGTTTGCGCATGCGTATTTCGATTTGTTTACAAAAGGGGTGGAGCTATCGCGCTGCATGTTGGGTACTAACGTTAAAGTCAAGGTTAACGTCGTGCGGCGAAAACTACGGTACCTAATATCAAGCCCGGGGGTGGGGGTAGTCGAAAGGTCCATTGGCTATTATTCTGTAGCGTGTGATAACGTGACGTAGCAAAGTGTAGATATACGAATTTTGCTTATTGACTGAAACTGCACACTTTGTATGTGATTTATTATGTGCATAATATTTGAATAATAATCTTTATAATTTCACCTTGAATTTATATATCCTTTATAGGCCTAGTTAAAATCACTTCATACCCACTTAGTTTGCCATGTAGCGCCTCTTTGCTTAACCTTCTCCCTATTAATACACCCCATTCCACCCCCTACTTTGTATAATTTTTGTATATGAAAAATTCGAAAGAGGAAGAATTGCCTCTCCAATTAACAAACATGTGACATTCCTAGTCTATTTAATCTAAGGATTTAGTAATAAAACGTATTCAAATCTTTGAAATTGATTCCTTGTTTATCTGTTACGTGATTTTTTTTTTCAAATCGTACCGTACACTTGAAATGTCCACACCATCAAGATTTCTGTGACAATATAATTGTCACTCCCCCTCCCCCAGGCAAAAAAAAATGTGCCACAGTGTCCCGGCCCTCAGAACACGTACTCTTCAGGTCTTTGTCCTCGTGGACAATACAGATTGTCACAGAAAAATGGTGGAAAATTGTACAGAATGTATTGCACATAATAGGCCTATGCATGATGGCATAACGCCCTGACATACATGCAACTTAGACGGCGTACACAGAAGCTGTTACTTTAACATCAACAGCTTGAATTACAATGGTTTAAATGGTTCGTAATTAAACTGTCATACATAGAAAGAGTACAGAATTTGTTAGTGTCAGAAATGGTGAATAACAGCTAAGTTTATGTCCATCAATATAGTCTAAATGTCCAAATCGTCGCTCACATCACGAACTAACACAATCAAAGTAGATTGTGTTAGTTCGTGAAATCACAGTAGCGCGTCAAAACGAGCGCGTATTGGTTGTCAAGCAAATTTGTATTCTTTACCACACAAAAAGTCCTTAACGACAACAGCGCGTATTTTGACGCGCTTTTTTGATTTCACGAACTAACACAATTGAATTTAATTGTGTTAGTTCGTGATGTGAGCGACGAAATGTGTCATAATTAGAATACGACAGCTTTCGTAAAAAGTGTCAGCCGGTAGCTTTGTAAAATATTTTTTATGAATTAGGTTATAGCTGTTACATTAGATTGGTACAAAAATACTAATAATATAATGATGATGATGACGATGATGATGATAATATAATCATAGGATAATAATAATAATCATAATGACAATAATCATTATATAATAATAATAATAATAATAATAATAATAATAGTAATAAATGTTAATACTGATAACAAAAAAAATGTTAAGCTTTTTCATATATAGATAATAGGATAATAACCATAATGATGATAATAATTATTATATTAATGATTATGCGCTAAGCCGAACTTAAGAGGATCTTTTGTGTTATTTTCCCCTTAACTTAATTGTTCTCCAATTTCTCCATGTCTAAGTTCCCCTTAAGGTAGGTTTTAGTAACATAATATTAATAATAATAGCAATAAATTATAATACTGATAAGAAAAATAATTAGGCCTTATTATTATTATCATTTTCTCATATATATGATAAGCCGTAGGTCTATATGTTGTTTGGCAGTTACACACACTTAAAAACGTACGAGAAGGCTTATGAGATATTCATTGTGACCATGATTTATATCAATTCCAATTGTTTTTTTTTTTCATTCCAACATATTGTCTTCGTTGAATTTACTACTAAATCCTTCGATGAAGATCAATGTGCCGAAAGTTCAATAAAATGTGTTAGTCTGTAAAGTGTCGATGGTCTAAAATTTACTGACGAAGAAAATATGTTTGTTTAATTTTATTAAAACTAATTTCCTTTGTGAATTTCGTCAGGGTCCTGGAACAGACAGGGCCGGCGGAACGTTTTTCAAAGTGGGGAGTGGGGGACTAGCATGAAGTGGGGCCCACTATAGCATTTCTTCCGGTCATACACAAATCTTCATAGACATATATTTTCTGCCAAAACGTCGGAGGTGGGTGGGGGGGTGTAGGTGCCTCCCCCCACCCGGCCATGATAGATTCATGGGGGAAAATTTTATGAAATTTCAAAAAATTGTACTATCAGATCGTATGGGGCTGACAATGAGATTGATCCTTCGCTGGCCCATTGTCGACCCCTCTTCAAGGCGCCTGGCAACAGTGGGTTCATATTTGTCCACCGGGAGAATTTTTCCCCCTAATTCCCCGCTGACAACTGCTTCAGTGGCGTATGTGATGTGTGCTCGTGTCTTTCCATGTTGACATTACTGATTCTATCAGAACTGGCTTATTATGCCTAATTGCCAGCTAAAACTCATTTAGCTGGCAGCTACCGTACCGTATATAATGAAAAGACTAGTATGCAGAGTAAAAAAAGCATGCACGGTGATATTCAGTAGATAAGTTGAACGAACGAAACAAAGGCTGTTCAAAGTCGTTAAAAAATGTGACTAGGTCTATACATAAAATTCTCAGACGGAAAATAAAGAAAAAAATCGAATTAATATATTGGTTGCCATGGTGATTAGGCCTATCAACTTCTACCTATTGTCATTATTCATCATTTATGTTCGTGATCTCTCAAACTGCATGCACCAACATAACTAGGCCAATATTAACATTTTAAATTTCAATTTGAATTAATGTATAAATTGATTGCCATAGTTAACTTCTACCTATTGTCATTATTCATCATTTATGTTCGTGATCTCTCAAACTGCATGCACCAATAGCTATATCAAAACATTTCAAATTTCAATTTAATAACGCTCCAAAGGCCATCAAGTGTTATCCGCAAGATATGCCTACAAAATACACAACGGAAACTCTTCTTAATATACAACCACCCAACACACGCCTCCTCCACCACCCCCACCACCATGACATAAAGAAAGTTAAAACAAATTGTGAGAAGAAGGGAAAGAATCTAAAGTCATGGGAGCAGCAGTTCTAATATCACAAGAAGAAAAGTAGGCGGGATCAAGATTTAGGGAGTATGACAAACTAATTGATAAAGGAAGAAATAGTTGAGAGAACGACCATTTAGGACTACAACACATCATCATTATAATCGAGCCCGTATTTAATTTTCTATCCATCTTTTTGGAGGGCTCCATTTAGATGAGCAGTGTTTCAATTATATTGCACATTAAACATACAAACAAAATGTGATTTTACCCTGAGATCTAGTGACGTAATATTCCGATTTACGGGTGCACTTATCCTCGTGCCACACTTATCGACAGTCATAATGGTTTACTCTTGTTTTTTAGTCATCACAGTACTTC